TTTGGGGTATTATATTACGGTCCCCTATTTTCGGAAACCCCCACATGAACATGAGACGCAGGGTTTAGGGTTTAGGGTTTAGGGCTTTAGGGTTTCGGTTTTGGTTTAGGGTTTAGGGTTTAGGGTTTAGGGACCTTGCAGCCTTCTTGGGAGGGCAGAACCCTTTTGTCCAAAGTGAAACCTTCAAACCTTCTAAACCTCATACTCTCTACCCTAAACCCATGAAGTCCCCAGCTCTGACGGCCTCCGTGGTGGCTATGCATTGACAGGCAAATCCACAGAAACCTAACGGGGATCACGTGAAGCCTAAACCCTAAACCCTAAACCCTAAACCCTAAACCTTAAACCCTAAACCCTAAACCGCCTCCACAGCCGGGTCGCTACACCACCTGCCCTTGACATGGCCGCGGTGGCCCACTGATCCTTCGAAACCATAGGGTTTAGGGTTTAGGGTTTAGGGTTTAGGGTTTAGGGTTTAGGGTGTCACTCTCCACCAAACCCAAAGGGTTCAAGTATTAATATGGTAGCTACTTTGTAGGTATTTGGGGCCCAAAAGTAGAAACTATACGATAACTTGGACCCTTTGGGAAGCAGTTTAGGGTTCAGGGTGTATAAATGCGAAAAACACCAAAACACCACAAACTCTAACCTATCCAACCTCAGAGCCGCTCCAGATCCCTTCTATAGGACCTCTATAGAGCACGAAGTAACAACCCCGAGCCCCTAAACCCCTAGATGAGACGCCTCCAGAATCCTTTGTGATCCCTGATGTGAGACCCCATCTCCAACTATTCAAGCCCATTGCAAGTTGCGGCGATCCCCCCAAAAAACCCTAAAACCCTAAACCCTAAACCCTAAACCCTACCCTAAACTAAACCCTAAACCCTAAACTGGCCTTCGGTATCGGCCTCGGTGCACTCCTTCGAGGAGGTCCATTGCCTGAGCTGCTCTTCGGGGGCTTAGGACCCGAGGATCGAGGGCTTGCGGTCCAGTAGGGTTTAGGGTTTAGGGTTTAGGGTTTAGAGTTTAGGGTTTAGGGTTTAGGGTTTATAGGGCTTAGGGTTTAGGGTTTAGGGTTTAGGGTCTAGTCGCTGCAGATCTTCGAGCTTGCATTCCGTTCGAAGGGCCGGGGTTCCAAACCAAGTTCACGTGTTTGGTTTCAGTGACTATGGTACAGGAATTTGGGTCTTAGGGTTTAGGGTTTTAGGGTTTTGGGTTTAGGGTTTAGGGTACAGGAATATGGGTTTAAGGTCTCACGGGTTCGTATGTCTGGCTTTTGGGCTGTAGTATGCAGCACACAGCACAGTTCAAGCAACATAATATGTCCACTGCCGCCTGGGGGGACGTTGTCACATTGTAAGCTCTGAAATGCATACGCAAACATGGCTTGAGGGGCCCAGAGACTAATAAGTTGTTCGTCTGGTGATTGTGACTAGAAGAAAGGTTGCCTATATTCACTCGGAGAGTACATCACTATGAAGTTATGTATTGTAACCGTGTTCTTGCAACACCGGGATATAAGATTCAATTTACCCGCAACAGGCCATGCAGTGTTAAGGCTGTTAAGGGTGACCCGCTGTAATAAAAAAAACACCCTGGGCCTCTGAGTGCCCAAAGCAGCAAATCCTCCTTTAAACCCAGAGCTGAAGCCGCAGCCTAAATCCTGAGCCCTAAACCGCACCCTATACCGCTAGAAAGCCTCAACCTCAGATCATGAGCCGCACAAACACTGACATCCGGGGGCCGTTGAACCCACCCTTTCTTCCCCCGGCCAGCCTGAAGCGTGTCCTCATCAATCATGTAGACCTGATCTCCAATTTTCGGGCTCAGAGGTTCGACTTTTCGGGCTCAAAAACTCGCTTTGAGGGTTCTAGGCTTTTTCGGTTTAGGGCTCCATATGGGTCCCGCCGACGCACCAAAAAAAAACACTATCTTCTGTGAAAAACTATACTTGTTTCAAGGCTTGGCTCAACGGCGCCTGCGCTCGAAGCCAGCTGTTAGACTGTACGTATATATATATATATATAATATAATATATATACATATATATATATATAACATATATATATATATATATATAATATATATATATATATATACATATACATGTTCGCACCACACCGCCCTGCTCGCTGCACTGCCCTCGGCTTCGACTCAGCTTATCTTCACAGTGATAGGGCTGAAAGTTACGGCAGTAAGATAAAGGGATGTTAAGCTTAGTCTAGGTTTCTGCTGTCCATCTTGGGAAGGATGGACATCTGTTGTGGGACATCGGTTCTGGTATATGGCCACTTATACTTAGGTCCAAGTCGTGCGAAACCTAGGTGTGCGAGCTTCTTTCAAGATGGCTTTGTAACTGCTCTTTCAGAGTACTACATCCCAACTTGCTCTCTGCTGCGTGACCCCTTACAACATAGCATAGAGTGTATAACTGTAGAAGCACCCTGCTAGTCAAGGAAGGAGAAGTGCATCCAACAACCCGCGTCCGGTTCGGCCTCACCCTTGACACGAGAGCCATTGCCAGCCTGTGCCATCGGAGAAAGTGCGGCCCTAAACCCTAAACCCTAAACCCTAAACCCCTAAACCGTTGTGTTTATGATATACGGGTCTCTGAATCTTTCAAGGGGGCCTAGGGCTTTGGGGGTGCGTGTTGTAGGCGACTTTTTCTAAGGGACCCTCAGGGAATAGTTTGGCCAAGTCTGCAGGTATATACTAGTTTGGGGGCTCCTTAGTATAATTATAGTATAATGGGCCCCTAAAACCCTATTCTAATATGGCAGTACTAATGCTCACGGGGGTTTCGGGTATCTTTACCGTGGAGGTGGCATGGGCTTCATCCTGATGCTCGAGGTACCTAAACCATGAGCTACCGGCTACCGGGTTACATAGTACAGGGTTAGTAACATACTATTGCCTGAACCCTAAACCTACAAAATGATAGAAGACAAAAGAACAATGACACTAGACAGGCATGTGAATAGATCTTGTATAGATACAAACCGCGTTTGATGCAGGGCCCGACACCTCCCCAGCCACTCCCCCCCCAACCATGGTATCCTCCCCCAGCGCCCATAGTTCTGTGGCATGGTACTGGGATCCTGGTTCTCTCGGCTTCTTCGTTTCCCCTCCTCCCTGTGGGGTGGTGCCTGTGGTGTTCGCGGTTGGTTAAGGTAGGCAGGAACACCGGCCCTTCTCCAAGCTTAGGTCTACGTGTTGTATTTGCTGCAGCATGCCACCAAGCAGAAGACATGATCATTGCTGACTCGTCGCATGCTGTGCATGTTGTAAAATCGCAAACCTAGAGCGGCATGCATTGTCGTCAAGACGATCGTGGTGTCAGCGGCCTCGATCTCTGTTCCTGTTGTCGCAGCTAGCTCGGGGAGTGTGGGATACCATTGCAGGGCTTGGGCAGATGGGAAGCAGCCCAGAACCCAGGATCATATACATATATTTACATATGTACACACACACATATAGATAGATGGATAGGTAGGTAGGTAGGTAGGTAGGTAGGTAGGTAGGTAGGTAGGTAGGTAGGTAGGTAGACAGACAGACAGACAGACAGAAAGATAGATAGATAGATAGATAGATAGATGGATAGACAGACATATCGTTATGCATATATATATATATATGTATATCTATACATATATACAGATATGTACATGTATATGTGTATATATATACACACTTTCTATTTATCTATACGTACATACAGATATGTACATGTATATGTGTATATCTATATGTATATATATATATATACACGTTCTATTTATCTATCCATCCATCCATCTATCCATCTGTCTATCTGTCTGTCTGTCCGTCTGTCCGTCTGTGTCTCTGTCTGTCTCTCTATCTCTCTATCTATCTATCCAACTATCTATCTACCTACCTGCCTACCTACCTATCTATCTATCTATCTATCTATCTATCTAGTTATCTAGCTATCTAGCTATCTAGTTACCTATCTATCTAGCTAGCTAGGTATGTCTCTAATTATCTATCCGTTTATCCATCCATCCGTCTATCCGTCTATTCATCTATCTATCTATCTACCTGTCTATCTACCTCTGTGTCTATGTACATATCTATGTATGTATCTATGTATGTATGCATGTACGTCTGTATGCATGTGTATGTGTGTATGTGTGCATGTGTGTGTGTGTGTGATTTTGTCTTTTTCGCTTCCGGCAACTGGGTCGGCAGGCAGTAGCCGACGTGAAAGTTATACTTTTTTGGAGATCACCGGAACGAAGGGTTTCAAACAGATCATGTGCGGAAGTAGCTTAGAAGCTTCTTCCGCCTTGCAGCAGGCCACGTATCCATTCGTAAATGCATCGGGACGTTGGCGCATGAGTCCCCAGACCGTTTGAGCGTCATCGCGACCACCTCAAGAGTCTTAAGAGTGTCTCGTCGGCTAGGTCTGCCTTTGTCCAAGAAGTTCTCATCCTCTCAACTGAGCCCCTGCTGATGTGTCACACAACTGCTTATCTGCACATCCTCCCATCCTGACGGTCGCTTGCCTAGACCTACGAAACACAAACCGTCACGTCGGGGATAGCACAGTCGAAGCGTCATTCAGTCGTCGCGTGTCCTCCAGGACTAAGCATGTCTTGGCCACGGAAGACAAGTATCTACGCATGACTGACGGCAATGCTTATCCGCATTTGTCCGCCGAAGAGCCGGACAGAAGCTTGCTAGGCTTGTCTTACCGCAGAAGGCCAGATGAATTCTTAGATGGATCCGCCCAAAGAGCGAAGTGGGTGACAACAGGTACACGAAAAGCTCTCCTCAGCTGCTTAACCTGACGCGCACGCCATTCCAACACTTGTTGCAGTAAGATGAACAAGCCGCGTGTTCGTGAGACGTAGTCAGCGCGGTCTACCGATCAGAAAAGCGAAAGAATTAGGAAGAAGAAGAAGAAGCAGCAGGTCTCAGTGCCACGATCATGCGACCTCTCAGGCATGTTTCACCCATCCTTGTCAAGAGCTTGGCAGGTTGCGACAGCACTTATTTTGCCAGTTGCTCAGCTGATGCTGTGTGATGTTTGCGCACTATTTGCATGAGATGCGGACGGCGTGTTTCTGCGCGAAATATGGGTGTCGTCTCAGCTCTCGCTTCACACTGGCCGAGGCAGTGCAGAAGCTTTTGGTGCTCTGAGGCGAGCAGAGATCATAGATGTAATAATAATAGGGAGAGCACTGAGAGAATGTCGTCATATCTGAGAGACTGCGCAGTACTGCTTCTTGTTCAACCGGTGCTCGTCATGCCAGGCCCTCAAGCCCAAGAGATCTGACAACAGCATGCTGCCTAGCTGCAAGAGGTGAGCCCGATGTCACCGGAGTGGAGATAGGCCGCTTTTGCACTTGAGGCTACTTGCTCGGTATAGCGGACGGTGGCCCAGGCAGCGCCTCGTGGCTCAAAAGCAGCACCAGAATCGGCCCATGTCTGACGCACCAGTATCAATGTAGAAGACTGATGTTTCGAGGCATGGAGAGCTGTGCACTCAGCACTGGCTGATGCAGTCTTGACGGCGAAGGCCTTCGAGCCGTAGTGGCCGTGTTCCTGACATGGTAACGTGACGGCTGTCAGGTGGTGATGGCGATAAACACCATCCTGCAGGAAGCCCCTCCATCAGAGTTCAGACCCCGGAATAATCCGACGGAGCTTTGCTTCAGCAGCCCGTGGCCCAGGTTCACAGCTCTGCCACCGCTTCCATGCCGCCTGCAGCGAGTGCCGGAGGCTGCTGCAGACGTGTTTTCCTTTCTGTATGGGTCAGGTGCCAGCACGAGAGACTTCAAACCAGATTCGTGCTACAAATCCAAGCTATCTGCAAAAGCTGATTGCGGGGGGCTGTGCTGCAGCTACATAGTTGCATCTTTGCGACTAGCCACCCGACCAAGGGGCAGGCTGTCAAAGCGCTCCAGCTCGGCCAGTTCTCAGGGTGCAGACTTCAAGAACGGCACTCGCGAGGACCAAGGGGGAGACTCCAAACAAAAACCCATCTAAGAGACTCTCCAAGACGCTCTGATGCTTCCGCTCAGATGCGGAGCGGTGGAAGCGCATCGTGTTTTCTCTTCGGCATGCTCCGTTCGCAAAACGCTTTCGTTTTCGTTTTTGACTTTGTTGATCTAGGAGAAGGTCAGGGAGGCCATGTTGGTTCAGGCCGATCGCTGTGACTAGCACAGCGCAGCAGGGACGAGTTTGGTAACTGGAGATGTGTTGAAAGATGACACTATAAGTGTTTGATGATTGTTTGTCAAGCACGCCTAGAATACAGGTGATCCGAAAGAGCTGCTCGCAATGACTGGGTCGTAGCAAGTCATCAGCCTTCATCAGCATATGAAACTGACCTAGATGGAGCAGATTTGTACTCAGTTCTCTGTAGGTCTGCAGCGTGTTCGAGTCTCTGTCTTGATGCCTGTATGCCCAGTGGCACTCACTCTCTCGCCGTTGGAATCCGACAACAGGTGTCCGATGCGAGGCTGTGATGGAAAGGTTAAGAGACACGCAACTATGCTGCATCGACAACTGACCTGCGCATACATGTCGACTGTTACACAAAGGTCCGTCAGGAAGCATGCGACAAGCAGCTTCAAGCATGACTAGGGGCAGCTGCGCCGACAGCCAGATGCAAGTGTGCTGCAAGTGATGATTGTGAACACCCGGTGCAGGCTGCAGAGACCAAGACGGACAACCACAGCCGCAAGCGGCGCTTGCCGATGACATTCTCGGCTGAATGAAGTGCGTCTGCGTGGCAATCGGAAAGTTGCGATCTGCCGCGTCGTGCGCTGCTCCAGAGCACATCGCGATGCATGTCTTGCAGCCCGCGAGAGGAGAGTAGTTGCCAGCTGACCGGTGTTTTAATTCGCGTGACAGGTGCGCCCTTTAGGTAGTGGAAGTGGGCTCACGCTGCCGGTATCACATCTGCTGTGGCCAGTGGCCTCAGCTTTGGCAGAGTCTCTCAACAGGGTGTACTCAGTGTACTCTCCGAGCACTGACCAAGGCAAGTGCTGCCACTCGAGGAGGCCGAGGCGGACAGACTTCTGCTGCCGTCAGCCCGTCATATGTCAGTTGCACAACGCACTTAACGAGGAGGAGCCATCTGCTATTCAGTGCCGGAAGAAGCATCATCGGAAGAGAGGCCGTGCCAAAATGGGTTGGGTGGAGAGCTTATCACGGAAGATGGTTTTAATTCTTTTCGATGATGGTAATTGCAGATGGGTCAACCGCGTCAGTCTCGCTGAGGTCAGTTCCAAATCATCGCGAAGAGTCGCAAACAAAGGCCACAACACTGTTGTTCCTTCAGCTGTCATGCATTGGAATCTCATGTCCCTCTGCTCGTTTGCCGTACTTGGTGAAAGTCAGTGTCTCTTCTGGAGGCACGCTGCACTGATGGCATGGCCACGCCTAGCCGACATGCACAAAAATTGTGCCCACAGCGGCCAGCTTGCAATTGCGAGAAAGGAGGAACGTGGTATCATCGTCACGATCCGTATCTGGCTCACCATGTTGCAGCCTGCAGTGACATGCTGCAGAGACAGGCGCCCGCATCGTAGCTGTGTTGGCCCTTAAAGCTTTGCGTAGACAGTGGGGCCCACGGAGGATGGCGTTGACCTTTGCATCGCCTTCCTTGTCCAAGGAGCTAACGCCACCAGTAGTGCAAAGAGCCGGGGCCCGAACCCCACACGGGGTCGTGGAGATTCAGAGCTGTAAAGAAAGGCACCGAGCGGTGACTGCCGGAGCTCTCGTATTGGGTGCTGGATTTTGCAGATCTCAAGCTCGTAAGAGCAAGCGATGTCGGCTCCAAGCTGGAAGCGCTGGAGTGAAAGAGTCAGTTCCCACGGGGCAGGAACAGCAGGATCGAGGCGAGAAATGCGGCGAGGACGATCGTTTGGTGAGGTACCTAGGTGGGAATGTATCAGTTCGCGCCATTTCTGCTAAAGGCTTGGTGCAGAGGGTCACCGAGATGCACAACTGCTCCCCCATGGCTTCCATTGCGCTCGGCAGCTCGGCTCGTTTACGTGCTTCTTCACGTATAAATCAAGCCGCTAGGAGGCAAAATTGAGATGTCACAGCATCCACCGGCATTTTTGCCGGTGTCAGGTCGTTCGCTGATGGCCACAGCATTGCTGGCAAACGGCCGTGATGAGGGCGAAAACCTTCAGATGCGCATACAAGGGACTGGTCCGATTGGAACGATCATCACAGAAGCATCTTCAGCCCTGACATGTCGCGGCATGGTTGGTTACCCAAGTGCAGATGCCGCCTCCGTGCCGGAACTCGTGGGCATGAACGAGGCTGCCACTCTTCGACTGACCCGGACGCACCCCTTTTGGAAGCGACCCTACACCGGCACGATCGCATTGAGGTGTGGAGAGATTGCTGAGGATGTCGTGCAGTATCTGGCCATGAGCGAGCAGACTCCTGCATCCATGGGCCTCAGCGTGGAATGGGATGCAGAGGCGCGGATTGTCTGATGTGATGCTAGCTTCCTTGGCTTGTCCCTGCAACATTGGGAATCCACCTTGGAGGCCGGCTGTGTCAAAGCTGCAGAAGGCTGGCTGGTAACGCTGCTGCCAGGCGCATGCTCTGTTAGTTCCATTTCGCCATGGATTCGAAAGAAGCACTACTTGACACTCACCCCCTGCACAAGGTTGGGAAGAGACAGAAGTTGCCGTCGTTGAGGCTCGGGGTAGCAAGGACATTCCATAGCTCACTACACAGCTGCGCTCCACCTGCACCACGCCCCAGACCAATATCAAGACCTTCCCCAACATGGACACCAGCGGCTCATCTCGTCCCGACGCAGGGGTCTTAATTGACCAGAGCCTGGCAAGGCACTAGCAATCACTAGCACTCGTGCCGAACCAGTTGCGACAGTGTATGCTAGCGATAAGGTCCAGAGCTGAAACATCGTCGTGCTAGAGAATGCAAATGTGCAGTTTCCCCCCCCTCGCTAGTCCGGTAACTAAGTGGCTGAGTAAGGACACTTGTTACACTTTTCGGGATAATATTACGCACTATAAAACTGAAGCTTTGCATGTGTTCGGCTTGGGGAGCTCAGCAACTAATGTAACGTTCCTGGTGCTGGGTGGTGTGGCTGTGAGGTGGTGGGTCGACGTGTTAGCTGGTGTCTGCACGAGTGCCAAGGAGCGAAAACAGTGTATGCTTGCCATAAGATCCAGAGTTGAAACATCGAAGGTGTTCGCAAAACAAAACATCGCCAATGCTGAACATTTTACATGTGCTTTTCACGTTCTTTAACTGCGTTACGTTGCCTTACCTGCCGATGCATCTTCTTATTTCCGCAGGCTCCAACCAGGTTCAATTGACTCGCAATGGCTGTGCTGTAAAAGGTCCGCTTGACAAGTTCGTTTTTGCGCTGCTGTACGCGCTGCAACTTTGCCAAGGCCATTTGCCAACACATGATGCGAGAGCTTCGTGGTGAGTTCCAAGCAGAACAAACACCCACCTTCCGCTGCCCTTGTTCCAAGTCACGGCCCAGCCCTCAGCTGCAGAAGGTGTAGTGCTGCTCGACACTGTGCAGTGCTACTGACCTCTGACTGACCGTTGGAGAGGTTGGCGACGGCTGTGATGATGCTCGGGAAGGAGGAGGCCAGCATTCAAGGTTGCCAGGAGATTATTCGAGTTACGTCACGATTTAGGAATTTAGTACTCCCGATGGCTTCATGAGGATGTTCCCTGTTTGCTTCGACCGTGCAAGAATCGCGGGTATCGTTGCGTGACAGCATGTGACAGGTGCTTAACATCATTGAGGAGAAGGACTGGCTTGATGCCAATGCTTTGACACGGAAGCATCACAGTATGAGAAGATAGTTGCTTCACATGCATGTTGCAAGGAGAACGTCGAGGCCAAGTGTGACTGGTGCGGAACACCACACGTTCTTACACCAGAAGAAGTTGCGACCTAAGGCGAAAGGGTTGGAGTTTTTTAACGCATGTCTGGTGTAGCTTCGATTGTGTGGCCACCTTCCTCAGCTAATGCATTATGTGGCAGCCAGATGAAATGCGGCACTCCAAGACCACCAACAAGAAACCTTGTAGACGACAGGAAGCGCAGATACTAGGACTACGGTTTCAACAGCAGACTCCCAACTATCCGTCTGACAAGAAAGAGCATGGCTCCTGCTGAAGACTTGGCCAACACACCGGCTGAGAGAGCTGCTGGTGCTGCTGTTCGGCCCTCGGCGCTGGAAGCGGAAGAGCTTGCTGCCGCGAAGGACAACCGCTTTGCACATTGCTGTGCTGTGCTTCGTAATCGCTGGACTCAAGAACTTTATTTCAGCACATGTGCTCCAGCCGGAAAGGGGCCTGCACTGCGGATGCTTTCGTCCGCAATCCAGCAACAGCAAGCACCGCATCGACCGCGAGCAAGGTACAAGAGCGCCTAGCGAAAAACGCGATAAGCATTTTCGCGATAAGCATTTTCTTCAACAGCAGATTGGACAAGTGACCTTCCTCTGACTCGACCAACCTATGCCATCTCTTCAGCTTGAAGTACGGTTCTTCCGACAGATGTGATCGTTCGTTTGATTCGTGCACCTAGTGCGATTGCCCAGCTCATCGGACGACACGAATTCGGCTCCAGTTTCGATCCAGACACGAGTTCGAGGGGCGAAACGGCTGGCCATGGAGTGGTTGCGGGAATCGTGGTTTGGCGGGATCCTAACCTTGTGATATGCATATTATACATATATATAATACATCAAATTACATGGAATGCAAGGCAGGAGGTAATGTCAAAAGACAGTAGCAGTGTGGCAGCGAGGAGCACAGTTGTGCACAAAGCGTGCCCAGGAGATCTCCGTTGGAGGGCAGGGGCATGTGATCATCCTGGGAGCTGGTCTGGTCGGCTCACTGTGTGCAGTAGTCCTCTTGCAGAAAGGCTTCAAGGTTCATCTTTTTGAGCGTTATCAAGACATCCGATCTATACCCAGTGCCGGGAGGTCCATCAACTTGAGTGTTACTAGCCGTGGACTCCGAGCAATTAAAGCTCTAGGTGGAACACTTTACAGCGACATCATTGCAAATTTGACTACCAAAGTCATGGGCCGGATCATTCACATGCCCGACGGGAAGGCTATTTTCCAAAGGTATGGCAAAGATAATACCGAGCACAATTACTCTGTCTCGCGTTTGGATCTCAACAAGTTCCTCCTGAACGCAGCTGCTGATGCCGGCGCAGAGCTGCACTTCGACCACGGCCTGCTTGAAAGCTCTGACTTCTTGACAGGCGGCAGCATCGGAAGCTGCCTGCATTTCAAGCGGGGCACGGGCTTCTTGAAGGTCCACGCAGACTGCCCGGTGATTGCATGCGATGGTGCCGGTTCTCGAGTTCGGTATGCGCTCCGTCGCTGTGGCTTGACAGAGTTTACGGAGGACCTGCTCACCCGAGGGTACAAGGAGGTGCTCTTTCCGAAGCCTGAAGAGGGAAGGGAATTTGGGGCCACAGGTGAGCATGGCGAAGCGTGCGATGGCAGGTTGGGCTTGCACATCTGGCCGCGAGGCGACCACATGCTCATGGCTTTAGCAAATCGAGATGGGTCTTTCACCGGGACCATCTACATGGACAATCAGGGTGAGGAAGAAGCATTTGCAGCTTTTACAGACACGCCTGAAGGCCGAGCAAAGTGCTCTCAATTCTGCGAGAAGTACTACTCAGATGCAATCCCGCACGTCGGCGGCCTGGAAAGCCTTGTGAACCAGATTGTCAAGAATCCGACCGGCATCCTCGGAACGGTTCGAGCAACAAAGTGGACATCCCAGGGCAAGGTCCTGCTTATCGGTGACTCCTGCCATGCGATGGTTCCCTTTTTTGGCCAGGGCTGTAACTGCGGCTTCGAGGACACATTGTGGCTCAGTAAGCTCATCGACAGTTACTGTTGCGATGCGGGCAAGGTCTCCGCAGAGAAGTGTACTGGAGAGAATTTTGCGGCCTGCTTTGCAGCCGTGGAGGCAGAAAGAAAGCCAAGTGCAGATGCCATCTGTGAGATGGCCCTTGAGAATTTTCTGGAGATGCGGGACAAGACAGGCGATGTGAAGTTCCAAGTTGCCCACATGAGTTTGGTGAAAGTATTTGGTTTCTTTGTGACTCATGTAGGCCTTTGGAGGCAACCCAGAACTAAACCGCAGCATGCCGCCAGCCTTCCAATGCAACACCGAGGTCTTGAAGAAGGTTGAGAACCGTCTGGAAAATGTTTTTCCAGACAAGTTCAGGAGCCGGTATGCCATGGTTTGCTATGGAGGAGCAGCTTGGCTTGCTCCCGCCTACAGTCTCGGCTTGTTTTGTCGGCATGAGTTGTCATGTATACACAGACACACAGCACACACTGAGGAATCCACCTTTACACTACCGTTGTTACGTTTTCCGAAGTCATCCCTTCTACTAAGCATGAGGAGTTTGTAGAGGTTCTGACTATGCGGTTCTGTCGCTGAGCCCAGGAGGGGAACGTTTCCTACGCGAACGCCAAGGACCTGGGCATTGTCCAAGCCAGCATCCTCGAGAAGCTGTGTCTCGTCGAGAAGTGCCGTCATTTTACAGATAGCTCATAGCTTTTGCAGGGAGGACCTAACAGGCAGGACAGAGGAAACCTCGCCTCCAGGTGGGACAGCTCCGGCGGCATAGCTCCGGAGCAGGTCAACTCAATCGAGCTTGATGAGGCCGAAAAGCTGATTGACCAGCTCCTTGCTCAGAGTCAAGGTCACACATGGTCATATATCATATATCTAAAGAGCTTGTCATTTAGAAGTCATTTAGCATTATGAGAGCCCATTTGCTAGGGCCGAAAGCATGAGGAGAACTTGTGCTCCAAGCGAGGATTGGTTTGACGTCAAGCTGCGAATTGGGTGGTTTAAGTCTTGACACACGGTTGACAGTAGCGATTGGTCTCCAGTTGTAGCACTGCGCCATATTCAATACACCAGGAGGCCATAAGGTCCGACTATATCTAAGACTAAGATTCATCCACCTCTGAAAGCAGCAATCATCATGGGCCACGAATAGCCACTCAGCGTCGAGTGTCAGTGGAGCTTGCTTTCGAACACTCGCGCGTCGTTCGGAATGCGAGATAATGCGAGAACGGCTTGGCTTGTGGCTCGGCTTCGCGCGGGAGCTCCCGCGCTACAGGACCTCCAATATGAAGGCGCGGATGAAGACAAGGCTAAAACTGTTAGTGTCCAGCCGAAGTCATGACACCGGACAGCTTGCGGGGCCTGCGGTTTCGAATCCAATCCATGCCACAGCCAGCCAAGGCCGGATCAAATGGTCGTAGATGCCTCTGCTACAGGGGATGAGACAGAAGAAGTGTAAGGCACTACTTGTGCAGATAGCAGCAAGGGGCATCTGAAGAGAACCTTTGGATGCAACTGAGGCTTCTGGTGCCCAGGCAGAAGGAGCTGGGAATTGACCTCTCAACCATCAAGCACTGATTGCGCTTGTGCAAGCAGCGCAGCCAGTGCTCTTTTCGCCACTCGAGTTTTCGAGCTCCACCTGTGGGCGTTCGAGTTGCCTTTCCCATGCCTGCCGGTTGCTGAAGGACGGCTTGCACATGCCACGCAGATTTGCGGCCCTGCTTGCTATCAGCTATGCTGGTCATCGAACAGTACAGTTATCAGTTATCATATTGCAGGCATCAGCCCAGAACGAGCTGCATGTGCAAACGGCCGCCAGACATGGCCCTCCAGGTCATGGCACACCTGGAGAGCGAGAAGGGCCTAGAGGAAATCAAGACACGCCTAGCCCTCAGCAATATCAAGCGCAACGGATATACACAGATTCAGATGTCGGGAAATGAAACGACAATCTGCATGCATGTCTTTTCTCTTCCATACCGAGGTGGCTATTCACCGCGCGGCATGCTCAGCAAGAGTTTGGTGATTCTGACTGCAGTGTTCGTGAAGGTTGAGCTTCACCATTCATATTCTTGTCGTGGCTGGAAGCCCCGCAGCTGTTATACCAGTAGCTTGGATTGGACTGCAGTTTGCAAGCTGCGGAGGTCAACTGAAGCTGAAAGAGGACCGGGGCTGGCTTGAGCTCGCCATCTCTTCTGCTGCAGCACACGACATGGCACTTGAAATCACCAGGAAGAGCTGAAGGCGATGCCTGCAAGTGGCAAAGCTGATTGGAGCTGAAATGGCAGTGGTATCGTGTCACATCAAGTGCTCGAGTGGGACAAGGGCAAGTTTTCCAGCCCCAAGCGTGATCTGCCTTGAGGAGCTGCTGTTTTCGCTAGGGAAGCTCCCTGACCATGCACTGCCCCCGTCAAAAACAATTGCAGACCCTCTGCCTGGTGCAAGTCAGCGTGTTTGGTGTAGCCACGCGCAACAACAGACTCGCAAGCCGTCTTGGCCGGAGGCTGCAATGACCTGTCAAGCACGAGTTGGCGCAACAACGCCGTGAGTGCTAGAACAGAAGGGTGCTCTGGCTTACTCTTTGTTCGAATCATGTCGACCAGAACTTCATGAATGCCAGAACTTCTTGGCCAGAACTATCCAGAACTACTCGTGTTGTAAAGACTTTGAAAGACAGCTACAAACAGGGGTGTTCGGAGATGTTCACACATAGACGAGCAACAGTGATACAGGAAGTGGGCAACTGCTGGGATAAAGGCCCACGTCTATCGAACGCTAAGTCATCCAACCAAGATCCGTCAAGACCTGGGTAAAGATCATGGAGGGTACTGCAAACCAAGATGATTCGTCACCAAGACCCAGGCAAAGATCATCTAGAGTACGACAGTTCCGGGTAGAGCTTCATGAGGCGATGTCTGTCCAAAGCGTCACAAACGTTTCTTGACCTCTAAGCAGCCATGTAATGTGACAGGCAGCTGCACGAAAGACTGGATCAACCACGTTGCCAGCTCGCGAGCTGCATGCCAAGGTGAGCGGGTCACTTTTTGCTAGGATTTGTTAGGCGTTGGTGTGTGTGTGTGTGTGTGTCTCGGCTCTCAAAGGCAACGAAGATGCCTCATGGAGGCATCCAGTGAGAGCCACCTTAGCCTGCGGGAGCATGGCTGTTGCCTCGAAAGGTGAGTCTGCAGGGCAGTCAAGTCAAGCTTGGAGCCAAGTCATTGGTCTGCTCGATGAAGATGCACAGTTCTTCCTGGACGAAATCATGGCACAGCTTGTCTGCAGAGCCCCAACAATCATGGTTCATGAAACACCCAGAATGCCAAGCAGAGAACAAGTGAGTAGTTGAAGATCAATGCACAAACAGCCTGAAACGGCACAGCCTTACATGCTGCGTCATCCAAGACAGGGTCGCAACATAGTGGAAGTAGACCGTGAGGGATGCGCAATCCCATGGCCACGCTTCACTTCATCGTCGTCAGCCGGTGTTAGCCCAGAGTCTGGATGCTCTGCTGCTTGAGCAGCTTATCTTGCCCCGGCAATGATCGCAGCTTGGAGCAGCGACGATGTTCGATGATCTCAACCGCAGGTCTTCCAAACAGCTATGTAGCTGTAGCCTAGCCGTGTTCTCGCAGCCGACATGGTTTTGCATTATGTTGGCATTGGCTGTCAGCTGAGGTACGGTCGGAACCTCTGTTGCGCGCACATTCTGCTACAGAAACAGTTGGATTAATCAGTCCGGAGACAATCCTCCGAATGCATCGACCGAGGTTTCTTGTTTCGGCACTTTGGCTAGCTGGGATCGTGGGAGGCCAAATTCTGCTGCTCCGCTTACAGTTCGGAAGTGCCGTGCCACCACAAAGAATGAAATGATGGGCGGTCATGAGCTGATGTTGTTTCTAACACCTGTCGACTGATCCCTGCGCTCTCGAGGAGCTCAAGGCAAGGGAGAGTGGTGGAGCTGTTGACAACTAGTGTGAGTGTCAAAACAGCGAGGTGCTTGAAAGAGAGCGGCGAACGCGAAGGTAGCGTCTGTTGACATTTCAGGATGCACGACATCAAGTGTTTAACAAGCGTCTTAGGCTGCCTCCGAGCGGTGCAGAGCAAGACGAGGCACTAAAGCATCTACATGTTTTGTATTTGTGTGATGCCTTCGAAGTAGCTATCCCCATCGTGTTTTGCAAGCAATTTGTCGGCAGGATGACACGACGGTCCTGCACGGGCCCGAAAACTCCAGACGAACTGGAGAGGTGGCCAATGATGGCGAGTCCTCGATCGAGGCAGGTGTTGTCTGGACATTTAGATAGAAGATGTCCTGATCGAAAAGGTGTTACCTGGGTGCGATGCACATGCAAGAGTGCTGGTTTCTCTTAGCATGGAACCAGCAAATCTGCCCTGCGAGGCAGACGATGTCAATGCCAGCCAAACACAAAGTACAACTGAAACAAGCACAGCCTCCACTACCACTTCGATTTCACTCCTTGCAGCACGTGTTCTTGGACACTTCGAGTTTTTCGCTGACGAGTTGGACGACGCCGCGGTTGAACAAGCGGCAGAAGTCAGCCTGTCCGAAGCCTTGAGAGTCGCAGCCTGGCAGCTGAATGTGACCGTAGTGTCCACAGATCCCTGGCATGTTGCGTACGCGGTCGATCTCGGCACAGAATTTCGAGATGTACTGGTGGCCGGTCAGCAGGTCATGGTGGACAGGAGCGGCTTCGAGGCGCTTTTGTCAGAGGAGCTTGTTGCAAGAAGCGACTCTCCACAGAGAGTGCGTGCATCTTTCGATCTCCGTGTCTTTGCCAGACTCCAAATCCAGGGCATTGATCCTGCGGTGCTGAATTCTACTTCCACAACAGTAACCTCACTCACACAGACGACCACTACAACCACTCAAACCATCTTGGTGTCTCTGAAACTCCTGTCTGCCATCGTGCGAGAGCCTTTCGACTCTGTGGTCGTGGCATTCAACCTCCCCGCGCGTTTTGGCTTTGCCGTGAGCGGGAGCGGTTGCAGCCCTGATGCGTTCAGTACTCGAACTTGGGAGTCCCTTGGAGAACCGCAAAGCTGCCGATGGAGGAATGAGACAGAGCTGGAAGTCATGTTTGGCAGGGGTGCCACACTGCGGCTAGGCGAGATGCTCGTGACTTCTCCAGCTGGTTTCGAGCCCACGGGAAACGTGGCGTATGTAGATGCACCAGCTTTGCAAGTGATGTTGCAAGCAGAAGGAACTGGGCAAGTAACACCTCGTCTTTCGCATCCGACTACAGTTCAGGCCTGCAGTCGTGTGAGCTTCTCAACCTTGGGGTCGACAGGAGGAAAAGGACGCCCCCTTCAAGTGAAGTGGTTCCTCGGCCCGCCAATTTTCAGAGTGGTCAGAGAGGCGCTGCAAGCCATGGTCGACATGGCGAATTCTGAAGAGTCCCGCATCCTGGAGTTTCCACCAGCAAACTTTTCCGTGGCAGTGCAAGAGGTGCGCATCGTGCTGGGAGAAATCTCATATGCAAAGATCCCCGTGCATGTGAATGTCACGGCACAAGTATCAAACTGGCTTGGAGCAGCAAGCAACATTTCAGGTATGGTGACAGTCCTTAAGGAGGAGGAGGCCTTGCCAGTATTGGTGCCTTCTTCTCGAAGCATCCAACAGGTTGCGACTCAGGACGAGACTGCCTTCAGCATCATGACGCTTTCTAATAAGGTCTCGGAGTGCGTGCGCCCCCTGAATACGACTTCACTAAATGTACTGGTGGAATGGGAGTACAGACCCGATCCTGGCAGGGTTTGGCACAGGTTGGGGACGCTGCAGAATTTAACTGACATCTCGAAGACACCGAACTCGATCCGTTTTGCACCGTTCACATTTCCGCCAAATACTGCCCATCAATTCAGAGTGTTCGTGCAATATGAGGGTACGATTCCAATGAGGCGCCCGAACGTGACTTTCAATCTGTCAGTTGCATCCAGACAGCCGCCAACAGCGATAATTCGGGGACCAAGCGAAGTTGGTGCTAGCTGCCCTTTCTTCGTGAATGCCTCCCAATCGCGGGATGACTGGTCATTGGATGCAGAGATGGTATACACTTGGTCCTGCCGCCCACTTGAAGGAACTGGAAGCTGTAACTTGCCGAACCTTGCGGATGCAAATTTCTTCAGAACGGATGGTACTGGTGCGAGCGGCATGCTGATGCACGTGCCTGGCGGACACCTCGATACGGAACCTCGAATGTAAGCCCCATCAATCCCATGCACAGGGTGTGCAGTGAGCATCGCCTTCCTTGTAAATGTGCACCGTTTCTTCATCACCGCAAGAGCACAGTTCCTGAGACTGTCGACATCTAGCTAAGGGCGTTTACATCATTGGCCTGTCGGTGCGGCGGGAGTCGGAGTCACCGGCAGATGCTGGAAATGCAACGGTTGAGCTGCGTGTGGTTGCAGGCCACTAGCATCATTAAGGCTCAGAATCCTCTTGCCGGCAGGACAGAACAATTGAAAACCATCCTGTTGAGGAGCCAGACCTCCAATCTCCATCGAGGTTCCATGGGAGAATGAAGCAGGAGTTGCCTGGCACTGCGTGTCGTTCATGCGTTTCACCGCTCGCCTTGCCTCGCTGCACTGCTTTTGCCGTTGCCACTTCCCTTCGATAGCCGGAAGAGTCTATGAAGCAGATTCTGCTGTGTATCGAGGTTTCTGTCGCCTCTGATGAGCTTATGGTCACTGCGCATGCTGACCAGACGCAAGGGTGCCTCGTGCCGGGATCTCAGTGACTAGCAGCGGCTAGCATGCCAAATAGCAGAGCATCTGCCCATTGGGCAAGGCATGCACACACAATGCCGTAACAGCACGTTCAGTCGCTCGATTACTGGAGTGGCAGCTGCCGACGCTTTTGCTAATGCTGCTATTGCTCCAACTAGCTACTACTAAGACCACTGGTACTGCTAGTACTACCAGTGCTACTAGTACTATTACTATTCGTGCAGCAAGTAGCATTAGAATACTAGTACCCACCCCCCACTACCAACCACTGGCACCATCCATCCGGGCTGGGCAAGGGCAGCTTGTAGGCTCCGTAATTGCGGCAGCTGCAGAAGATGCAGGGGCTCAGGCTCCCTATCTGTGACAGCTGCAGAAGTTGCAGAGGCTCACTTGCCTTCACTGTCACAGCCGGTGAAGTTGCAGAGGCTCAGGTCCCAAAACTGCGCGACGGCAGTTGGAGTTGTAAACACGACGGGGAAGAAACTGCTGAAGCACAGGTGGTCGGCTAGTACGAAAACGCTGTTGCTGCCAAGAATGTTTTAACATTCCCAAGCACCTGAAGCGCAACATCTTATAAACATCAAAAGCACAGATGCCAGCTGTACGTGGGAGGAGCTCGCCAACACCCCTAAAGCCCAGACCTCGACGTAGGAGGGTTTGCTTTTGAAGTATTGTGTGGTGTGTGCGCGCGCGCCAGGTGTGGAGACATTGTTCGGGGTGTCCGCGAAACAGCGTCGTGATCATCCCCCGGAAAAGCTTCCCCCACCTAATTTCGAGGCTTCGCCCAAAGCCCTCCGAAATCCCAAAGTCGAGTTCGCAAAATCCAGAAGTAGGTTTGGTGACTATATAAGAGGGTCCGACATCACAAAAGTACTGCAAACACGAGTAAAACGGCTCTTGTGGAGATATTGTTCGGGTTGTCTGTCGTAGGGGGGGCGCCTACTACTGCTGCTACTGCTACTGCTGCTACTACTACTACTACTACTACTACTACTACTACCACAACCACACGCATGCTGTAGCATGCAGTCTCTTTTGTTTGTTTCTTTGTGGTTGTGAGGCCCGAGACTTGGGCATCGCGCTTCTTGCTGGTGGAGCACGGAGCACCATTTCCTGTGCTGGCGCTTCCTGACAGCACCTTTGCGGCTGAGACCCTAAACGCGGGTGGGGGGTAAGCTTGGAGGCTTGCTTGCAATGCCGAGGTCTTTGAGCTTCTTCACCACAACATCCACTACGACGTCCACAACAACAACGAAGACAACCACAACTTCAACAACGTCGAGCAGCACCACGGCCACATCGACTACCACATACACCGTCTTCGACAATGAATCCATGAATGAGAGCATGAATGAGAGCGAGAATGTTTCAGATCCTGATCTCGAGATCGACGAAGAGGAGGTTGAGTTTGAGGATCACAACGAAACCTCTGCTGATTGGCACGATGTCTCGGGCGACGATGTCATAGAAGAGCCCAAAAGACTGATGTTTGCCACCCGCGAATTCCACGGGAGCTTGCTGATTCCTGGAACCTTGTACTCCTACGCCTTCATCTTTGCAGATGCCGTCGAGCTTGCTGCGCTTGAGCAGAACGACACATGGGATCTGGAATCAGTTTCAGGGATGGAGTCCGTGGCCTTTGCGGTTTCTGCAACTTGGAGGCGCTATTTCATGTGTGAAAGCTGAAGGCTTCTCGCAAGCTGCACGCCCGCGAATTCCATCGAAAACGCATCTCAGTGCTGCAGCAAACCGGTAAGGTTCCCTTTCGGGCCGACTCGCCACCAAGCAGAGGGCGGGTTATTGTCACTCCGTTGCAGGGCCGCGCATCTAGCCCGCAGTTACCCAGGGTTTCCGAGGAGCACAGTCGATGGCTTTTATTTGCGGATGCTGCCGATGTGCGGGATTTGTAGCTGCCCGCGTCCCAAGGCACTGCAGACACCATTTCGAATTGCAACGGCTGACTGGGAGGATGAGGAGTAGAGTTAAAGGTCACTATTCCTAGAGCAGGAATGTCAATGGCAGTGTGCAGAAACTACAAGTCCTCGGAAGAATAACTGTTCGCGATCCAGGACGAAGAGCTCGAGTACGCTTTCTACCGCTTTCCGATCCAGGGGCCGGGTGGGTTGTTGCAGCACAACTTGCATCGATAAGTCCAGTCTAAGTCGACGAGTCTCAGCAGTTTCATGTCGTTTTGGGGACTCGGATCTGTGCAGGAGTGGTGGCCCCAGCTCGCACGGTTTGGAGAGTCGCTTCGAGCTGCCGGACATTGAGCTCTGCTCGGCACAACTCAAACCAGACAGATTCTGTTTGTCGCAATCCTCAGTCGCGCTCTGTCTTAGCTTCTTTCTGCAACATCTTCAACATGTTAAGTCTTGCCCAGGAATGGAACAACGCTTCTCACGCGTCACACTGGCGCAAACGGGGAGGTTTACTTGTTGCACTAGACAGGATCTCATGCAAGAAAGCTGACATGTCGAGTGTAGTGGCGCAGCGATGCTCCGACCAATACTGTAGAGTTTTCGAATGACTTGCTCGGAGTAGGCATATGCTGAGATAGCGAGGCGTTTTGCTGCGATCGTTCTCAGCGGCGAAAACCCTGGAAGAGCTGCGCCTCCCAGCAGGATCCTACTTTGTGGTTGTCAGAGCAAGGGACAGCGCCGATGGCATGCACACAGAATTTTTGGCAGCACCATGGGTCTCTGAAGCAACGGACCTCGACGACGCCAGCTTGATAGAGCTACTCGATTCAGCCCAGAGCAGCAATGATGCGAACTCGATCATCAATGCAGTTGATACGGTGATTTCATCCTTGCCTACAGCCGCAGAGGAGACTGCACAGCTCTCATTGCAACTGATTCTGCAAGCGACTGCGCTCATCGACTCTGCAGAAGTTGCCGCGAAGTGCGTAGAAGCCGTGACTGCCGTACTTGTTGGGGCCTCAGGCGATGGCACTGCAGAAGGTGCCACCCTGGAGAGTGCCAGCACAGCTATCGACATCGCTTTAGACGCCATGGGTACTGTGGGTATGGTCGGTGATGCAGGAGCACTGGTGCTGGAAGGCATTAGCACAGTCGGGGCGACAAGTTCAAGGAAGCTTCAAAACAGGGAAACAGCTTCACGTTTGACAGGGCGGGTCAAGAGCCTCACTGCAAAGCTTGCCGACAGGCTGCTCTTCCAGTTGGCATCAGGCCAAATGGAGCTATTGAGGGCAGACGATAGAGCTGGGACAGGAGGAAGCTCCAGCCTTAAGGTGGCCAGGATGGGAAGCTCAAACGCACGCCGCTTGGCAAGCACAACCAGCTGCTTAGATGCTTCGCAGACGATTGAACTGTCAACGCTCCAGATGACTCAGCCTCTGCTGGCCTCTGAAGACAGCGCTGCTCCTTCGCTTCCAGTGTCGGGGCCTGCCGTGGAGTTTCAAGATGCTGTGTGGCGATCCACAAACCTCTACAACTGGGCCAATCCTGCTTTGGGCGTGAATGCTCATGTGCCAGCCGATGCCACAGTTCGCAGCTTCGCTGCCATGGCATGTGGAAGCCCGGTTCTGCTTTTCAACCTGTCGGCCCCGGTGTACATTCGGCTCCGTCTGCCTCAGCCCGAAGCACCACCCAGTGGCTACTTTCTGTCACCAGCCTGTGCCAAGTGGCACGAAGCCGACAGTGCATGGAAGATGGAGGATTTGCAGGTACAAGACGTGGATGCAACTCATCTAACCTGCATTTCTTTTGCCGGCACGGGAGTCTACACGGCGTTTTTCTCGCCAACACCAGAACCCACTTCCACATCAACGAGTTCCACAGTCTCCATGACGACGTCAACAAGCACTTCAGCGACCCGCACTTCAAGTACCGCCACAGGACCACTGACAACGACCGCCTCTTCCGTCACGTCAACTGTTACAACTGTTGTTTGGTGGGCGACTGCTGTAACAACACTGCAAACGGATGTTCCTTTCTGCAGTGCCATCGCTGCAGCGAGAGAGGGCTTTAGTGGTTCTGGGCAAGAAGACGTATTCGGTCGAGCCAGGTGAGGCATCGATGCCACCGTCTCCACCAGGAGCGGCGCCGTTCACTTGTTACGGACCCCGCCGGGCCTCTTGGCAGCAGCGGCGGGTGCACACGTGGTGGTGTCAGACACGCATTGGAAGCATGTTGTTATTTCTGACAGCAAGGTCGGCCAGGAGTGTCGTGCCAAATGCGATCCCGATCCACTAAACACAGATGCTGCCGCGATTTCGTGCCTTCCAGGTTTAATTTGGGCCTTCTCAGAACCATGCCCATCTCCCACCGACGCTCGGTACACATGTCATGTCCCATCTTCCGGCTTGTCTTCCTAATTCGACAGCACAGTGTCTGTTGCAGTTAGGAGCTTCCGCTGGTCGTCACGACAGAAATACCGACGACCAGCTATGAAGTCATGACCGTTTTTGGCATGATCGCTCTTGGCACCCTTGGGTTCTTCTTGTGCGTGGCCCTTGGCTGTGCACTGTCGTCGCATCTTCGGTCAGCAGGCCAGCAGAAGGCGAGCCGAGTAGCACCCGAACTGCCTCAAAAGCCATCTGATGTGTCATCACGGTCTTTGACCTCCGCGCAGATAGTGAGCCGCATGGAATCAGACCAGCTGCTTTTCCAGACATGGGCAGTCGAAAGTGCAAAGCATCTGCCATCCCCAACCTTCCGGGAGAGATCCGAGCCCACTCAGCCAGACATGCCCGGCACGGAGTTGGAACCACCAGCTGACGCAGCCGACCTTCGCACGCTGACTGTTGAAGGAAGTTTCTGGGATTGGGCAAAGGAGTGGTCTCATGCCTCCATCGTGCAGGTGGCCATACCCGACCCAGCCATGCAGCTGGTTGCTGTTGAGCAGCCGCCCGATCCGGGTGCTCAACAAGACGGGGAAGAGGCTGAACTAGAGGAAGACGATGATGAGACGTTTCAAGCTCTACAATTGCAGAACATTGGCTCGGATTCGGAAGAACCTGGACTAAAATCACCTAAAGCACTCACCATGTAGAGGTCGCTTGAGCCGCTAGGGGCCTTATTTAAGCGCCTCTGTCTCCATAAGCGAGAGGGATCACCCTGAAAGGGTCTTCCCTCTCATTTCGCGGGGCCATCCTGCAAGGAACTCGTCCCGTATGACCGAGTGCGATATCTGACAAAAGAGGAAGGGAAAGTAGCTGAAAGATGCTGAAAGCCTTCAAGCAGGACTCGGGGCATACTGATTTGCAAGGCTCCGCGGAGGTAACACCGTTGACGATTGCAAAGGCACAGCTTGCTTGGGGCTTCGTGCTTCTACTTACGCAGTCCTACTTGTATCGGGGTAGTCTCAGCCATAGCCCCTGAAGGAACACTCTAGCAACAGCTGTCGGCGCGGCCCCTGATAGTAACTTGCCATTGCCTACCACTGCATCAGTACACTCAGGCACAGTGCCAGCTGGGCCTGCAGATGCTGCATCCGCGCAGCTCCACCTGACAGCGGCAAAAATTGAGGCAGCAAGGTCGCTTGAGATTTGCAAGTGGTATGGCCACCTTGCTGTTTTCCAGGCGCCGATGCCCAAGGAAACAGAAGGCCAGGCTCACACAGGGTCCCGATCCTCCTTTGACGTGGTGTTTCGAAGGGAGGTAGGCAAACCGAGCTGGACAATGCGTCGCAGTGGATCATGTATGTCTCTTCTCGTCCTGACCTGCCTGTCTGTCCCGGACGGAGAGTCTGAGGATCAAACAGGTGCGTATAACATACGACTTGAGTAAGGAGCCAAAAGGATGGAAGCCCGAGCGTAGTAAAAACTACCTCTGATGTCAAAGCGACGTTTTGTTTGTGCCAGGTGCACTCGACTTGAGGACGGAGCAGCTAGCCCAACCTGCGAAAGCCTCCGACCTGAAATCGGGAGAGCCCGAAGTGGCTCCGAGGCGAGTTTTGTGCTGAAGCGTTCTGGAGAGACTGTTGCCGTGGAACGGACGGCAAGGAGTGGCGCTTCATGAACTTCGAGCTTCAAGAGCAGCCTTGTCTCCTGGCAGCTGCCCGGTCTCTGCTCGGCGAAGCCCAAAGCCGGGGCTCTCAAAGCCGAGAAGGAACGCAATACCCTCGGCACGGAGGACTACAGAAGCTTTCTTGGGCTGCGAAAGCTGTACCGAAAAGTCATTGACAGAGCTCACCGATAGCAGTGAACCCGACTTCATCCCGACAAAGGTGGGGATGAGGAGTCCTGCACTCAAATCAGGCAAAAAATGAGCAGCAGTCCTTCCGCGGCGAGAGCCAACGAAAGGAAGGTGGCTCCATCAAGTGGGATGCCAAGAGTAGAGAGTCGATGCTGCGTGCTCACAGAGATCTGCGAGATCAACTGGTGTGGGTCACTCGCCAAATCGCAGATGTGGAGGAGGAGCTGCGCACACTGCGGCTCCGCCAGGCAAAGACTCAGCCTCCCCCCTTGGAGACTGTATGAGCTGGTCGACGCTGGCTGCACAGTCTACGTGTAAAACATGCCCGCATTTGCATTTACGTGCAAAGAGTCAGTCAGGCATGCCATGCTGTCACGCAAACAGGACCCGGGTTCGAGGCTGCAGCGACATGCCCATGATTTTGCAGTTCCGGTGTACTCAGCTATACTTCCCAATGCCAGCTTCTGACCAAGACGGAATCGCAAGGACTAGCTTAGTTACCAATCTTTTGAGCTCGACTCTTGGCAGAGACATGAGCCTTCCTGCATCACAGATCTGTGTAAGCATTGATGCACAGTTCCACCGCCCTTGGTCTTCTCATGGTGTTGGTTCCTTAGCGCTTCGAGCTTGTCCATGCATCTAAGATGTGGCCAGATGTCACCATGAATTCAATACTTCTTCCAGCGAGGTGATGGCAGGTCCGGGCTCAGGTGCCCTTGTGCGGCCATGCTGACCATGCTCTCGGGGAGAATGTGCGACTGAAAGGTGTCGAAGGGCGGACCAGACCTGGCTTCAAGTGGAAAAGTTCCCTGTCCTTCATTGCGGAGCGGTGAAGTTGTCAGCCTGGGCAGCCACTAAGGTGCAAGGAATACAGCACCTTCTGGCAGCGATGCAGCCAAACCCACGCAGCAGCCTGGCCAAGAGAGTGCAGCAGAAGAGGCCGAGATGCCACACCTGCTGCCCACTCAGGCCAGCCCTTTGCGACAGTTGTTCTCATCGCATTCACCTAGATTTGCCAGGCTCCGGAAGTCCCAGTTCAGGCTGCTTTTGCCAACGGAGAGATGGTGGAGATCATAGGCACGACACAGACCGGCAGACGAATGCAAGCAGAACATGGACGTCGCAGTCGGACTTGGAAGGCTTGCAGGGTGCACTAGACCTGAACGGACGAGTGGGTTCGGAGCTCGCCGTTTTCTTTGCTGTGGCTGCGCTGAGCCCTGGATCCCTAGGCATCGTGCGCGAGTTTGATCCTGCCTCGAGGAGGCACAGAGCTGCCGCCTCAGTGGTTTTTGTTGTGGAGACTCGCAGCGGGTCTGTTTATCTAGACATGGAGTGTGCTTCCCTGTGTTTCCTTTCTGTTGTGCGCTTTAGTGGCGCCGGACCAGCTAGGGGGAGTTAGTGGTTCGCGCTGTTTCAACGGCTTCCGACTCGTTTAGGGTTTGGGATGGCCCGAAATTCTGTATGAAAGCAGGAAGGAGCATGCAAGATCCAAGGTGGAGCTTCTTGAAGAAGATGGAAGTGTGCGACAAGTCCGCGTGAGGCCTTTCTTTCGCCGACCTGCCGCGGCATCTTCCTCCCACCCTGCCCTGTGCAGAACACGGCAGCTTTAAACATCTCCTGTCATCACAGCCGACAGGCCAACAAACTTGGACTTGCCATGCTCTCAAAGCTCAAGTGGTCTGCACCACAATGGCGCTTTCTGATTTTGCATAAAAGGCTGAGCGCGGAAGAGTTCATGCCTTCGCGAGCATCCATGCAAGAGCCGCCGAAGATCAGCAAGGAGCTATGCTTAGTCAAAGAAGGATCAAAGCAAAGCAACTGCCTGGGCGTCCAGGGAGGGCTTCACCTGGGATCCTGTCACCTTTGGCAAATTGCTCTGCGCAGAGCTTCTTTTGCAGAGGATCCTGCAAAGCCTGCAACGCTGCGCCCTTCGCAGCCAGTCAGATTCTCGGGTCTCAGCTAAGTTGCTGCCTGCTGCAAATACGGCGGGAGCCTGCGTGACTTCATGAAGGCTATTTGTTCTGAATGTTGCAACGTTAGGTTCGGACGTCCCGTGAAGAGCCAGAAATGGTGCGCCCTTCTTGGATTTAAACACTGTATCGGGCATTCTTGCGGTTCCAAGCTTCTGATCGTACTGACACAAGCCTTGTTGCAGGCTGTGGCGCTTGCGACCGCCGTCAATCAGTGTGATCTGTTTCAGGCCAACGTGCTGGCGGTTTGTCTTTTGTTCAGTGTCAGAGCAATGGTCGCCCTCAGCGTAGTGTGGTGTCACGTGTGAGCAGGTCCAGGCATTGCTGCGTGACAGAGCTGACCCGAATGGCCACTCACAGTCACCCGGCATGTCGTTGCTGCTCGAAGCTGCGCGCGACTCAGAGCGGTTTGGTTCTGAGGGTTACAGGTTGAGCAAGCGACGTGAAGCTTCACAGGCTGCAAAGACTGCTGCGCAGAGCCTTGACCTGGCTGCACTCCTGTACGGATCTCTGCGCTGCCCGGTGCCGTGCTTGAGAATCTGCGAGCTGCTGCTTGCAAGGCTGGGATACAATGCCGACCCTGATGCTGTGCTGGATCGTCCTCGAACCGCCAAGGTCCAGTGTACCGGATGGAATTGTTGTAACATACCGACAAGAACTTTGTTGGGTGTTAGAATAATGAATGCTTCTGCCTTCACATGTGGCAAGGCGGTCCGGTCAGAGACAGAGGTGCCCTGCTGCAAGACATATCATGTTTCAGGCGAATCAACACTCTTTGACTCTCCGTCGTGCACGAGGTGGAGACACTTTGCCAAATCTTTCGCAGCAAAAGCGCGTCCACGGAAGAGGTGTTCCCTTCCTCGCTTAACTTGAGCTTGATGTCAAAACTGCCCGTAACACAAGACGACGTTTGTCAGCTAGCGGTCAGGGAAGTTGTCGAGGCTGCAGCGCTGGTTTCTGTCAAGCCAGCACAATTCGCTTGCTGAGCGAGGAGCGTACCATCCTGTCCAAGCTTGATGCTGGAGCACTGGCACAGGCTCTGCTCATCTCTGCTCTAGACAACCCCTATACATGGGTGAACATCTACTTTCAGTCAGAGAGCAAGACGTCATAAGACGCCGCTCGCTGTTTGCAAGCTGCTGTTTTCAGGCGCGCCGGCTTCTGAAACTGTCTGGGCCCTTCGCGCTGCTCGGAGCAAGTTGGATAAGAAAGCAAGCTGACGATTATAGGGCCCTATTCCATCTCTCAGCACCAGCAGCAGCACCAGCACCATGTCGTGGAGCTTGACACGAAGTGCCCTGAACCCTGAATCTATCTTAACCTCATACCTCGAGAAATCCGACAAACAATCTACACATATTCGACCCCAGTCCGCCGACTGGCGCAGAAATGATGCCCGAGCTATATGCCAATGCCTTATAATTGGTTTATGTTGAGGCCTCGCACGTCATCAAGCTCCGCGGTCCGCTGTAGCAGTCGTAGGAGTGCAGCCTACCCCGAAACTCCATGTCGGATCAACAGTGCCTGTAGCTCACAGCCCTACATATGAAGGTTATCAAGCTTTGGGTGTGCCTGCCGACAAGCGACTTCCATGGAAGAAAACCTAGCTTCAGACGAAGGTAGTGTCTGGAAGACAGCCCACATCTTGAACATAGGTATCTGGTCTAAAAGTTTGTAAGCGTGCGGAATCACTTGGTACCAGGTCAAGAAAGCATAAGAAATGAACATGAATGAGTTCCCGAAGCATCCATGTGTAATCGCCGGAGACATCTGAAGATACTGTACCGGCAGAACCGAGTTTGGAATAAACATTAGGCAACGCGGTCACTGGCTATGGGCAGAAACGCGAAACAGACCAGAAATAGTAGAAACGTGCGCATGCGCTTGTACTTCAGGCTGGGGGGCATCGCACCTGCAGTCTGTCTCGAAGAATCCAGCAGCTGCCAAGAGTTGGAGGACTTCATGCGAGAGCTTGCCTTGATCTGCAAGTCGTACCGCAGCTCTCATGTCTGTGTGTGCACGGCGCAGGCCACGAAGGCGCACAGGCTCTTTCTACACTCGGCTGATGGCTTGCGGCCTGTCCTGGTCATGCGCCCCTCGGCAGGCCCTCTCGGGATCTCTAGAGGCCGTCTGCCGCATTGCATCCAATTTCTGTTCCGGTGGCCCGCAGGTCAACCTAGCGCCCTGGTGGTATTGCTCCATGGGAACACCTGGCATCTTTGCCGGTTGTACTTACTCTGTCCGGCAAGAGACAAGCTGCCTTCTACTTTGGCTGATCTCAGCCGCTTTTCTTGGCAAGGCTCTTTCAGCACATGCCTCGGCAATTATGGTGCGACGACACGCCAGAGTGGGATCCGCTGCAAAGCGCAATCCAGGTCGGCACGGATGTTGGAGACGACAGTGCGCCGCCTTTCTGACTCAGTTCCTCACATGCTGTTTGCGCCCTGCCTGAATCAGCAGAGCAACGGTTTGACGGCTTGAAGGGGATTCTTTTGCCGATTCAGAAAAGCAAAGAACAGCGGAAATGGCCCGCCACAGGTGATGCCCACCGCACCTACACGTGCCGGAAGCTCAGAGCGATTTGCGAGGCTCTTTGCTTTGCACTGTTGCTGTTTTTGCCGTTCCAAGGATGGCTGGAGTGTTGGCCCCGTCAGATGCTAAGAGTGCAACAGATTGCATGAGTCTGCAGAGACGACTGTGTCATCCGTCATCCGAATCCAAGACTACCTGCCTGCCTGCCGCCGCGTCCTTGCTCTCAAGTTTCAGCAGAACTGAGACGAAGAGTCCGAGATTGCTGGCGCAGGCAGTGCAGCTTCAGTGTCATTCAGCATTCAACAGTTGCAGCACGCGTTGTCATGCCCGACAGAGGTATTGCTACGGTTGGTTACTGTCTGCCTGTTGTAGGACACTGTGTCTTAGCTTGCACAGCCCGGCGATTCAACCTCATGGCGTTGTACAACATGGGCTTTCATGATGCGAAGCTCGCCTGGGGCAACTGGGACTATGTGGACCTTTCGCACTTTTCGAATATTCCGCCTGGAGGGGAGTTGAGGACGTCCGCAGTGATGTTCGTGAAGGAGTGTCGGGACAAAGCCCATCCTCCGGGACTCTTTGCAAGTGTGGCCTCCTTCACAGCAGGAATTGCACTTCACAGGATGTGGCATCACCAAAAAAAGTCAGAGAAGGTGACAATTCCGAGACTTGTGGAGCTGCCGAATCGCAAGGCGTGTTCTGAAGCCCCGGGGCCGTCGAACTGGGCTCTGCCATTGGTGCTGAAGTGCTCAGGTGCAGCTGTTTTGGTTATGGCAGCTTCGCGCAAGGTGCGACGGCGCATTTGGAAGGGGGCACGGCTGCTGGACTTGAAGGAAAGAAACGTGTCCAGAGCCTCTTCTACGCCCTCGGAGGCCCCATCACCGGTTCCAGTGGCACCTGCCCACTCTGTCGATGGAAGTGTATGGCGCGAAGCAGTTCGGGGCGCCCCTCATCCACGAGTCCAAGAGGCACCAACTTGCATACCATGGACAAGTCAGAACGTGCACGTCAGAAGCGCCCCGGCAGTGCCGGCGGGTGGAGCTGACAAGGGAGACAAGCCTGTGGGCGAAGATGCCAAACCCGAGGTCGAGAAGACGTTGCCAACAGGTTTGAAGCCCGAGGCCGACAAGACCGTGGCGCCGGATGTGAAGCCGGAGGCAGACAAGACCCTGCCCCCAGATGTGAAACAAGATGCCGAACATGTCCCGCCCATGGATGTGAAACCCGAGGCCGACAAGATCCCGCCGGCAGATGTGCAGCCAGAAGTCGACAAGCCACTGGAGAGCAAAGACATACCGAATGAAGGCGCGTCCAAAGGCAAGGGTCCGCAAGGGAAGGGTCCGCCGCTAAAGGGCAAGGGCAAAGCAAAGGTGCCATCTCAATCTCCGTCAGAAGGAAAAGGCTCAACAGGCAAGGCAGCAATTCGTGCCTTGGTAGAAGCTGCCAAACAGCAGACAGAGTTGCCGGAGCCACGCAACCGCAAGTGGAGCGCTCCGAAATCAACAGGGACGAGCCTGCTTGACACCTCCAGAGCCACTAACCTGGCGATCATGCTCAAGAAGCTCCCGGTATGTCCTGCTGAGTTCTGTGAGTGCGTGAAGATGCTGGACAGCTCTCATTCCCAGATTGCCGTTGGCCATGTTGAGCTTCTTCTTTCTAACATGCCCTCCCAAAGTGAGGCGAACAAGCTGCTTTCATATGACGGCAGTGAAGGGCCGCTTCGAGATGTCGAAAACGAAGTTTTGCCACTTTGTTCGCTCAGTGCCTCGGCAGTGAAGGTCTTCAAGATCGCCATGGAACATGAGGATGTCTATGCACGGCATATGGCACGGTGCAGAACCATTTCAAATGCCGCGCAGGAAGTCTGCCGTAGCAGAGAGCTTCGCGAACTCCTGACCTTGATCCTCCACACCGGAAAGTACATCAATTCTGGTGTACCAGGTGCCAATACCGCTGAGACCTTCAACGTCGAGGCGCTGCAGTCCCTGTCCACCTTCAAGATTGGCCCAATCTCTGCGCTTCATTTTCTCTGCATTTCTTTCCGGGGCATGAAAAGGGAATTCCTGCAGCTGCTCCTGTCGAACTTGCGGCACGTGCATGCTGCGGCCAAGGAGAAGTTCGGCCAGCTTGATGTCGATATCCATTCGAGCTTCCAGGACGATGTGAAAGCCGTCGAGAACAGACTGGAACAAGTGAAACAAGAAGTTCAGGGCGGGGCTTCGCAGCACCTGGAGCAATGTCACTATGAACGACTCGCGATGCTGACGACTCAAATGACATCCGAGCTTGCAGCTTTGAGGACCTCCTTTGCCTCCGCAAAGCAGCTCGTTGCAGAAGCTCAGGCTTATTGCGACGGCGAATCAAGGGAGTCGATGCCCGCAGAGCTCTTCTTTCAACATATAGCCACCTTCTTGGGCATCTTCCGGACGACTTGGGAGGAGATTGATGCGCAACCAGCAAAGTGGCGGAAGTACTTGTCAGAGGCTGTGACAGCTTCTGCCCTAAGCAACGACATCACAGCATGGGCCCAGCAGCTTGCACGTCAAAGCATCAAGGACAAGCATGATGCGCCGTCCAGGCAGGAATGCACAAAAGTTCTTGAGGCAGCGCATAGGTCACTTGTGGCAGGTCCAAACATGAACAGAAGTTGCAGACTGAACCCGCTGGTCAGGCAAACATCATCTGATGCCGACATTTCATCTTCGGGGCGTGCTTTCTCGGATGTGTCCTCAGTGAGCAATACAGAGGCCAAGAAGCTGAAGTTTCCTGCTATGAACTTTGTCGGCATCCACGCAGACCAAGCAAACCATTCGCCGTTGCCCTCTTGTTTGCCGACCCGCTCGCCTTCACCCACTTTGAGAGCACCATACTGTGGAATCGCTTCAGCGTACAATGTTCGCGAAAGGCCCAGCAAGTCCAGATCGCCACCCCGCAAGCAAGAGGAGGAGTCGATGGAATCCAAAGGCTCGGTTCCAGTCGAAAGATCCGGAAGATCCAGGCCACGGACGTCTTCACAACATTCGCAATCCACAGCCCCGCCCAGAAGCAAGTCTCCGCAGTCAAGGTCACCGGTCAGAGAGGCGCTGATGGCTCACACACCGACTTGGGGGAGAGCAAGCAGCGGATCTGCAGAGGAGCTTCTATCTTCCTTGTCTCTGTCCTACAGTGGGCAAAGTGGGGCAACGTCGCGGTCCGTATCTCCGGCTCCGAACAGGGTGACCACTCGAGATGGCGGCGACAAGTCTTCGGACAGCAGTGCATCTTCCCCGGCGGCTTCACCACGCCAGAACTCCAGTTCACGGGCACCGTCAGCAGGTTCCCATGGTGGTCATGTGGGCAGCGATTTCTTGCCCGACATTTCAAGGGACGTCCATGCGACTGAAAGCGAAGAAGCTTCCGTTTCCAGAGCACAAGCACCAAGGCCTAGGGCAGATGACCTTTGCGAGTTTCACGTGCTTCATGACGAAGCTGGTCAGGCATCCAGGCAAAGTGGCTTCGAACAGATGCTCCGGAGACTCGGTGTGCGCAGGGCTCCTGAACAACAGACAGAATGAAGCATGCAAATGCAAAGAGCGTAGTTAGACGATGCGACGGGGAGAAGAACACATGAATCTAGCATTTACGTAGGTATATCCATTCAGCAAGCTTTGCATGCGGTTTCATCCTATGGATTCGCCTTCGAGCGTGTATAGACTGAGCCAGCCACGTGCAGTGCCATACGGATATGCACCACACTTCAACGACCGGTTAGTGCTGCTAGATTTGTCATCTACCGTGGCTGGTGCCAGGGCGAGGAAGAGGAAACAGACTCTTCCTGCTGCCCCCCACATTTGAAGTACAGCTTGGCAACAGCGCAAGCTTTGTTTCCATCCTTTTAACAACTCTTGGGACAGGAACACGACTGCCCAGCCGCCGGAAGCCTGACAGTAGTCACAAGCCTAGGCCAAGCCGTTCAAGCGTAGCACAACTACCTGACGTGAGCCTTGAGTGTTGGATAGAATCACGGGCTTCCTTGAAACACAGAACGGCAGTACAACACGGTACAGCCCGACTGAATCTCCAAGTCATGCCGAATCCCCTGCAGGCCGTTGAGGTCTCCCATTGGCAACACTTGGCCCTCCGAATTCGCTCATGAATGTCTCGATTGCATTGCAAAGACATGGATATCATGAGCCAGACTTCGTAGAAACTCTGGCCAAGTATGTGCGTCTAAACAGCTGCAGCAAGAAGAAAATCAGATTGAAAAACGCTGGTGTGCTGCAGTGCGCGCTGTCGTGCCAGCTCTTCCTGACAGATTTACCCGACTGCATCTCATTGCTTCCGAGTCTAAGGCATGGTTTGACCACACGCGGTCCGCTCGCAAAGCTGAAGCTCTTGAGGCTGTGCTGGAATCTTGCCGAACAACTTCCGACTGGGCGAGCATGCTGGTGGTATTCAGTGCCCGCGACGAGTGCAGATGACAGCAGGAATGTCGGTCCGAAATCCTGGCGCTGCTCAGCTCTCAAGGCAAAGGAATGAGTTTTACGTGCCAGATCGAGCGTGCCACGCTGCCCGAAGGCCATGAGTGGGGCATCACGCCCGAGCGAGTGGTTCTCGCGGGCTTCTCCATGGGCGGCACGCTGGCAGCCTGGACAGCGTTGCAGGCGAGACGGCATCGAGTAAAGGAGTGTTCCGTTTGCAGAATGCATCGCAAAAAGAAGCCTACTTGTCTAGCTGGCCTAGCAGAACACTTTTTGGTCAGATTTCCCTGTTCTTTTTCTGCTTGTCCATGTGCCCCTGTCCGTGTCCTGGTCTGTCTGTGTGGGTGTGTGTTAAGTTGGTTCGGAGGGTGCTCGAAGTATCGTCGTCGCGAAATGAAGCAAGTCTTGAAGGGCCCGATTCGCATTGTCGCAGATTTAAGGACCACACTTGCATGATGAGATTATACATGGGTCGTGCCTTCGGGTTGAGGGCTCAGAATTATGCACCGTGGTCTCGCAGGTTTGATCAGAACCAATGCCATCACGCAGCATGTAACGTCCGCAGGCTGCGAGAACAGTTGGAGGTTCCCTGGCATGACACGGACTCACACATCATACGAGAGAACTAGAGCATCCACTCTCCAGCGCCGCGAAGCATTGCAGAAGTGCAGGAGACATGCTGCACGTGATTGGCATTTCAACTAAGATTCATGGCCTGACCGAGTAACGCAAAGTAGGCTCGTCTTTGAGGCCTGTGTTCGGAAATGCCAAGCCAGCAATTGCTGTCATGTCTGTCGTTGTCTGCTTCTTCGGTGCAGACGCCGGTAACAGTTGACCGTGCACTATCAGGTAGTTGTGTTCATAGTAATTGCTTTTCCGAAGGAGGTGTCACTGAAGTACTGCCCCGTCCGGATCATTTCCAGGAGAAAGCTTACAAGTTGCATGCGCGCACCGGGGGTGGGGGGCACGCGCCGGCGGGTGTTGTTCGGTGCAGGGCTTGCGTGCGCTATCGCTGCTCTGCACACTCTAAATGGTCATGTCAACTATCAATGAAAGTGCGAGTTCGGTGCTGCAACGGAGCAAGCCGAAATGCATGCGAAGGAGCCACGACAAATGCACAAACCTGGGTGTCGTAAGACACATATAAAACAGATGCATCCAACTCTGTTTGAACACCCTTCGTTGGTTGATGTAATCTGCGTTTTGGCCTTGTGCATAGCCAACTTGTAATTAGCGTCCTAAGCCCGTGGCAAAGGGTAAAATTGAACGATCCTCAGGATTGGTGTCATCACCACGAATTGTGGCACCTGAGAGTCGATCAGTGCTGAAGACCGGTGGCGCCAGCCGAAAAACTACCAGTCGGGACGAATGCAGACTGAGGGCCGAAATGCCACAGTAAAGGCCAGAACGACATAGATGTCCCAAACGAAACTAATTCCACGTTAGGTGAGGACCTGTTCCTTTGGAAGTCGTTTCCTTTCGCATCATTGAGGCCTTCATGCTCCCCAGATATCTAAGCCACTGCATGCGAGGTGCCACGACCCCTTGCCGGACTCTTGCTATTTGGCACGGAAGGCCTACAAGTGCGGATGACCGTCCAGCGTCCACTTGCATTCTGCGGACTTCAGGCCTCAGCTTCACAGGAGGCTGGGCGGCTCCGAAGACGCTGGAGGGTCCTGGCTCGGACAGCTTTGGGAAGATTGCAACTTCAACAAGCTCATGTGCTTGCAACAGAGCGGAACAGATTTGGAAAAACTAGTTTACGCCGACTTGTTGTTGCCGAAGTTTTGTTTGTGGGAAAGGGGGTGAGTGCATACTAATCAGCCAGCATCAGCTGGAACCGGTAACTCGTCGTGGTTGTTTCGACTAGTTGCTAGTTGCTGCGTAACATGACATGTCTGCACAGCATGCGCGAGAAAGAGTGTCGCAAAAATCATGTTCTCGTGAAATGGCAACACTGGCACGAATCCGTCACGCAGCGGTCCAAAGCATTCCTGTGCACCGAGATTGGTGAGATGGATTTTCGCGGAGCGGTCGCCAAAGGTTTAGCTTGAACAAGCAGGTTCCGGACGGCAGAAGAAAAGCCGTCGGTATCTTTAATCACGGATGCTTGGAGGTCGTAGAGAGTCTGATGAGAGTCGCGCAGCGCTTGTGCCAGCTGTCAGTCCGCCGGCACGAGAGTTATTCAAGAGTGCAGGACTGGGCTGTCGGGGCCGAGTCCTTGCAAGTGCTGCAGTGCCCGGGAGCTCGGGAGGGGGGGTTGCTTCTGCCTCCCCGTCAGTTCCCTTTAGAATGTGCGAATGGAGACGGCTAAGGCCATGGACGCGAGGACGGCAAGCCTTGCCGCTGTTGTGAAGCACGGCATAGTGCCTTCTCTCCAGGATACCCTTTGTCCTATTGGCTCTGCAACGACCTGCGCTGATGAGCTGCGGCGCCTGGGGTGCAGTCAGGCTCTTACTAGTAGTATTCGAACGCATCAAAAGATGCATTCTCGGGCTTTCCGAACTTTGTGCCTTTGTCCATGATTCTTTCGAGAGAAGTAAACAGCATGGTCGAAGATGATTTCAACTCCGGAGGCCCGACGTTTGCAGCAAACTCGAGAACCGGCATTCGTTCCATTTCGTTCCTCTGGAAATTTCTGACACGGGCATTATTTTCAGGCATGTCAGTCCTGCCCATAGTTTATCGGGCGCTTTGACAGTCAAGTACGGTACGGAAGGATTTCCATAACTGTGTCCCCCCTATGCCTATGCCCAAAATGTGCGTGGCTTCGCGGCTCCGATGTGTCCTCTGCGGGATCCATCATGTTTTTCTCTCTTGGCTATCGAAGCCAGGATAAACCTTCGCTTGAACTTACGAGCACGAGGGAAGAAACCTACTAAGTAATCGGATTCCTCGCAGCGAAGCAGCGTGCCTTCCATGATGTGAACACATAGTCGCTTCCTGAAGTCCTGCCTGGGAAGCCGCCCCCGGAGGAGAACAAAATTCAAGAGATCGGGGACTGTTATGGACAGCGCAGCCCTGTAGCCAAAGAGGATCACGAGGTTCCACTGGCTTTGAGAGCTCCTGTCGGGTTCTTTAGCCTCCATCTTTGCACCCCCTTTCCATGTATCAGGCGGGAAGCAGTGGGCATCCGATGCCCCACTCCCCTCCTGCTTGACACATCGTTGGCGTGTGCCGTGAATGCGGATGATTCCAGTCCACATCGGGCGCACCATTTGTGGTGGTTTGGCCGAGCCGATGCGCTTACGTGCTGCACCCATGCTCACTCTCCGGCTGGAGGGCTAGCTGCGGGACTGATAGGGGGGAATGGTCCTATTTTCTCCGATGCCGACAGTTGATACCGGTTGCGTGATTCGACTTTCCTCTTCCTCAAAACCCCTCACGTCCATTGAGGATAGAGTAGAGTGTAGCTCATGCTTTTGCTCAAGTCCCAGTGCGAGCGGAGTCATGGCTTGAGCTAGTTCAACTACTGGAACATACTGGAACAACGCTTCCATGTGGAGCGAGTTTCTGAGTGCGTCGCCCGCTCCTACATGGCGTCAACATTATTTCAACATCCATGACTCCGCTCGACGGAGTGATCGGGACCTGGCTTCCGGCAATCGTGCGAAATCACAGCTCAGCAGGCTTCCAAGTTAGGATCTGGACATGTGCCTGTCAGCAAGGTGTGCGGGCTTTGGCATTTCAAGGAGTTGGGCATGCTTTGTCCACAGATATGGTTGACGAGGCCTGATTCCTTTGCACACCATCTGTCCCTAAACCCCAGCCCAAATCCCATGAATCCATGTCAGCTTGGACATCCAGGCGAAATTATGGCTCCAGAAGCAGCTGCCTGCTCTGGAAACGTGAAGAAAGGGATGCACATGTCCTTGACTGTGCGAGTGTAGAGTGTAGAGGTTCTATGTTCGACACATGTCGTAGAATTAGATCGCAAAACATGAAGCGACATGCTAACAGCAATATGGAAGCAACAGGCGACAACGGGTGAAACAGGTCGACTCAGAATCTGTGCACCCACTACAAATATCGCCGCCGGCTCCAACCCCAACCTGAATTTTAATTTGACTATTTATCGAAAATATTATAGAATAAATCTTCAAAAGGCGTCCATCTAATAATATATAATGGTGGATATTATACAAGGAAGAATTATCGATAGAATAACTGAATAATTTATTAATAATTATTAGAAATTGATATTATATTTGATTTCATTATTCTTAAATTATAGGAAAATATTCAATATTCTCATTCATTTCAAGAAATAGAATGATGAAATTGAAATATTAGATCATTTTATTTATTGATCTAGGCCTAGAAAATAATTTGATTATGATATATTTTCCAGTATTTATAAAATTATGATATTTGATTATCTATGGTTCTTTAAATTATTCTCAGAATATGAAATATGAAGGTATATTCATATAAAAGGATATATTTTAAATTATCTGAAAATTATATAAATGGGAAGATATTTTTATAATTAATTATAATAATGAGATATATATAGAGGTATTTGAAAATTTGGGACTAGTGGGGAAAGCTTATTTTTTTCTCGTTTCCGAATTGAATAAAGATTTCTTATTTGATTATTAATTAGTGCAATATATATTATAGGTCATAAATATATTCTATAATTTTTAGAATTAGAAAAACTATTTATGCAGTTACGATTTTGCTTGCCTCTATAAGGGATCGGTCAAGCGCGGGATTTACGCGTATTTCTCTATTATTTATACAGTTTTGGACATATTATAAAAGAATTTTTTCGGTAATTGGTATTCTTGGATTGTGGTTGGCGGTTTAAATTAAATACCTAGTATGGACGGAGCCTCGTAATTCCCTAAATGATGTCGTAATAGATCGGCTCTATAATGCCGTACCAGATCGATTCCTGAAATACCCCAAATAATACCGTAAGAGATCGGCTCCGATAATATCCCAATCTCGTAATAGATCGACTCTTCAAATAATGCCGAACAGATTGATCTATTACAATACCTCAAATAATATCATAATAGATCGGCTCTTGTAGTATCCCAATTAACGCTGTAGCAGATCGCACTGGATACCATAATATTAGTCGATTCTGCTTGTGCCTTGCGGGAAGTCTCTGCAAACCATACAAGGTCAGGCGCTCCGCAGCTCCCACCCTCCCCCCCCATGGTCCAGGATCCCCCCCTCCCTGGGGGTGGGGTGTGGGGACCCTCTTCCCCTGGTGCGGTTATGGGGTTTGGGTGCTCAAGCTTTTGAATTTGAGGTTTTAGGTTTATTATAAAATTAAAAGTTATAAGCCTGTGAGTCGACAAGAGTTTAATGAGGAATTGGGGTACAGGTTGGTTAAGATTGATATTCTGTTTGGAGCTTAGAGCCTGCATTTAGGCGGGTGAAAGGTTTAAAGTATTAAATATAGATTAAAATTAATAGAAGTAGGAACACGTCTTACTTTATAAGATTTATGGCTTGCGTAGGATTTGCATAAGATCCCGGCCCGACCCGGCCCCTGGCCGCCACCCAACCTTTCGCCCCGACCCTTCTCCGCACTCGCCAGCCCCCCCAACCCCTACCAGACCATACCATTGGGGGGGGGCGGGAACGCCAGACGCCTGACCATATATGTCTTGAGAATTTCGAGCTAGTCCCGCGTGATATTTTCCAAATAATACAGAATTAAATGGATGCGTTGAATCGATACCTTGTATATCCGTCAATTCTTGTTCTACCTTGCGGGAAGTTTCTATAAACCATATATTCTCTTGAGAATTTCTCAAGCTTCTCCGGCGTGGCAATCTCCAAGTAATATAAGCTTCTTGGGGAATGCGGCATCTTGTGAGCTTCGTGAGCCATGCGAATTGAGGCTATAGGTCATCTATTTGATATATTGGACTATCAGTTGTGCCATGAGATTGGACTATCTAAAAGGTGACTGGGCTATGAAATCATACGCGCTCGTATAATGAAAAAGAATATATTTCAGATTATGACTGATAATTGAAGATAAATAATTACTTGAAAAAATTTAAATAATCGATAATGATATTATAGAAGATAGAAAATATATTCTCAATACGATTTTGAGATATTGATTATTATAAATTAGTGATATTATAAAGATATATAATTAATGCCTCGTCAAGTTCTAGATATTATAAATATTAGATTAGATCGATAATTATATGAGTTATAATATAAGCATTAGATAAGATAAACTTGGTCAGCGAGCTCAGAAGATATTCATTCTCTTAGCTTGCTCTTCTATGAGAGTATGATTCTAATCTAATGCCCATTCATTTTCTTGATATTTTCTTAATAAATATTTGTAGGGCTTAGAGCCATCAATATGAATAAGAAAATGAAATTCATTTTCTTATCCTTATTTATAGATGGACCATTGGTGTCGGGAAGGGGGGGAATCTATATGGAAAAAGATGCTAAGAAAATGAATATTTATTTTCTTAATTTTATTAAAGGATGGATCTGGAACATTGGGATTTGGGGGGGGAGGCAAAAATTCATATGGAGACAAATTTTAGAAAATGAGCAATCGTATTTATGACTAGATTTGGACATGAGGGATGGGACGATATCAAATCCAGTCATATCAAATCTAGCCAATAAGAAGATTAAGAAGATGAATATTTTTTCAGCCGTGTTTGGAATTAGATTTGAATCTGGGCG